TGGCGCTCAGGATGTCGCCGATAGTACGCAGCAGCCTGACACAGCTGATTACCGGCTGCCGCTTCATCGACGATTTTTTGTTCGCCCCAGGTATACCAGCATCTCCAGAGCGTTTGTATCAGTGTTGAGAAGTATAACGGATCTGTATATACCGCTATCGTGTATTTCCGCTACACTTCGCAGTCAAGTTTTGGTGTTTTTCGTTCTAGCCGGTAACACGTGGTCCGGAGTGTATGTGTACGTGTGCTCTTTTTTCTTCTTTGTGCGCTCCATTTTTTCAGTCATCCGTTGGATCACGTTTTCCAACTTGTTACGTCGTTTTCTCGAGTTTGGATAGACGGATATGGAAAAGAATTAGTGTTCGAATTAGGGCGCGCATAAATTATAATTATCCGGCTGGTTACGGGGCGGCAAGGGACGGGGGTGGCTTTCCTGAGGTGTTGCAAATAATGCAATACTCTCAGGCAAAACCTTGTAATGTACCGCATTACAACTATTAGAAGCGCTGATCCCACCGTCTCTTCCTCACCAACTCATGAGGATATATTATTTACGTTCTCCGTAGAATGAGAATAAAAATTCGAAAGCTAGAATTAGACTAATGCGTATATAAGTTGGTCATTGGACTTTATTTTACATCAATTCAGTTGTTTTTGATCTTAAAGTGCCACGAAGGCCTTTTACTCAAACTTATACTCATTAAGTATTTAAGGGAGGTCATTAAATTGCTGAATGTGTTTATCAATTTTTATTTTGACAAGTAAGATAAGATATCACATATAAAAAAGTGAGAGAAAGCGTTTTTGTGCATTTTGCGCTAAAGCTTCTGCTAAAGATTGTAACGGGGTGAATACCGTTTAATTATATTTTTATCCGCGTAACTTTATTGAAAGGCGAATGTAATCATCTATGCTCAATATACAATCCGGAGAGCATGGGGAAACAGGCGTCAGTCAACCAGTAAATCTACTAACCTACAAAAAATTGAGTGGAAGCAATATGAAATGAGCGAGTCGAAAGCACTTGTTAATGTCACGAATGGAATCTTTTATTACCTATCAAATGCTACATAAGGTCGGCCCGCGTGTTTGTTTACATCGACGCTCGCACGATGACAACATGCAGTGTCGGGACGCTCGCTGCTCTTTGTTGGAAGAGCTATTACATGCACGCTTGAGATGTCGGAAAAATCAATTGTTATTCGGGCTATTGCATAGCAACCGCGAATATAAGCTGGCCAGCTTACCTTAATATCACAGGCGTACGAAGATGACACTGACGAGTCGCACAGCGAGAAGATTGTCTTATTGTTTGTGTCACGGATCGCGAGTTCGCGCACACATGGTTTCGCCCTCGATGGTGAAACCCCACACACACTCTCTCAATCTCTTCGCGGGCGACGCTTCTCCGTCGGCTCGGGTCTCTCCCCTTGGTGGTTGAACGGCACCTTGGCAACAGCGATCACTGCTAGCTGGCACTGATCTGGGCGTTCTTCTCTCAATTTTTGGTCTTAACGGCACATGGATCGACAATAGCGAAAAGAAAAGCGGGCGAACGTGATGATGGTCAGCGCTTCACTGGTTCGATTTCAATCGCGCGCGTTCCGTCTGCTCGCGCGCCGAATTCCTTCGTTACGTTTTTCGTCTCCCCGGTAGGTGCTGCCCTCGCAGGCAGCAATTTGGTTATTTTATTGGCGCTAATTTGACGTTTACCGTCACAAGATATAATCCTGCGTGCTTCAAAACTTGAATTTCAATATACTGCAAAGGTCAGGAGAGAGAAAGAGATCGAAAAACTAAGAAAATCTGGAAAAAAATAAACAGAAAGTAGAATCAGCAGATCTTTCGCAGGTATGGGATATGACACAACAACACTAAGCCAGGCGTAGGACACAGCGACATTCTCCCCTATAGCAGTCATGAAAACTATGTTAATGCTATGCTAAGTGGAGAACACAGCTCTTTATTTAGCTAATAAGCGAAAGCTATGCCTCAATGCAAAGCTAAGCGAAGGACGCGGCCTCCTATCTTCTCTCGCCACCATTGTGTCAACAGCAATGTGTGTGATATGGTAGGCCCTCTCCTCGCCGTCGAGCGAAGACGCTCAGCTCGACAGACCTCCCTATCTTCGTTTATCTTACCCACCATCAGTCTGTTAGGTAGCATGAGCACAGCCGCCAAGTATAGGCCATATGTACCCGCTTATGCACCTCCTTTCGCAGGCAGATCAACGAGAGCTTGATAAGTATTGGCTCCACCGATCTCTGTCGAAGGCGGTATCTGTGTTTGAAGTCGAACTTTCTAGGCAGATCTACTCGGCGGGTGCGCTTTATTCCAACGAGTTTACAAGAACAACAGGTAGCCAGTCAATTTAGGTCTAACTATGCGTCTGCAATCTACGGTTCGTGTTCAACGCTTCCTGACTCACCGTTTGCACAGAGCCTCAATAATACTCTATACCCATCAATGAAGCTGCAAGATAACATCAGCACCATCATTACCAGGTGGAGGAGATATCGGTTTGTATATTCCACGGACGAGCAACATATGATCTACCATATCCAGATAGACCCCTGGTCACCTACTTGCACCGAATATTCTGGAGCCATTTGTTCGAGGTCCTGGCTTAGCATTATGAGCTCCAGACGGTGATCTCCGGGAGGTTCTGCGGCCCGTACCTGACACTCCCCCCAATTAACGACGAGGGCTATCGGTTTTCTCTTACCTGCGAAGCGCTCACCAAAGACCTTTACATGAGTAACTTCCTAAGCAGTGAACCGAACCTGAAGACCACGAAAAAAGCTTAAGTCCAGCTCAGATAGCTCAAAGTGGGAAGTTTACATTTGCGCATATGGGTGGCCAAAGATCCAAACCATTCCGTAGCCATCTGACTCAACGAATGACTTTGCTCTAACTGAATCCACTTGTCAACCGGAGACTTTGCAAACGAGTTTGGAACCGCCTGAAATCCAGTTAAAGACCATTTCACTCTCCGGATTAGCGTCCACACCCCATAACGAGCGTCTATAGAAATGAACCCTCCTCACTGAGTTGGCCAGCATCTTTAACCCCGCCAGACAGATAAACAAGGAATCCGATGCTGATCCTGGAATTGAATTTGAATCTCATTTTCAAGGTTATTTCGAGGTCAGCTTCATTTTTTCAAATCGGAATCCCTATTTTCGACACTGGCAATCGATAGAGCTAGAAAATTTACGTTCAGATATGTGCTTAAGTCGCAGAAAAAATTTAATATTCAGTGTTAGTCCAAGGTCATTTACCCCCAACAAGGTATTCAGATACCTTTGAATATTTTTTCGATCAGTAAAATTTTTATTTTTGTCGTTTTTTAACGAGGAATCCGGTAGCCATCTACAACTTGATCTTCATCTCGACCTCAACTTGACCTTCAAAGTCATTTCAAGGTTAACTGGTTTTTTTAATCATAAATCCCAATTTTAATATTGGAAATCGATAGAACAGAAAACTTTACATTGATATAGTATTTTTTTAAATGATGACCTGACTATTGTCGTTATTCTTACTATTAACGTTATCCAAAAACAACGACATGAATGTAGTAAGATCTGTTTCCTTTGGGATGCTTGATTAGCGTGAGTCCGCTTACTCTTACGATTGGGAAGCTTGATTGATGAGTCTCCTTGTCTATTACTTTAAGGTTCAAAGTTTAATGGCAAAACCATCTTGAATTTTGAAAAATCGAAATTTTTGTAGTATATTCTAACTCAGTAACCCCAAAAACCTTCGAATTACCACTTTCACTTTAACTGGTGAGGTTAATAGACACAATTGCTGATATTGGTCTCGCTCAAATCCTGCATGGGTGTTGGAAACCCGTATGCAATATCCACAAAAGGTGAATGCGTGGGCTGGTATCTTTAACCATAACTTTCTTTATCGACAATAATCTTACTGCAGCTTACGAACAGTTACTCAGGGATCAAATAATACCATGAATAAAAGAGATAAAGGTAATGATTACGATGTAAGTTGGTTTGAGCAAGATGGAGCAGCTGCTCATTTTGATCCAGACGTTCGATTATATTTGGATGCTCAGTTTCCTCGTAAATGGATTGGAACAAATCGAGTGGCCGGCTAGATTTCCGGATCTGACATCACTCGATTACTTTCTCTGCGGTTACCTTCAGAGTAAAGCTTATGTCACTAAACCAAACAACTTAGAGAAACTATGCAATCGAATTATGCAAGAGGCGGCTAGAACTGATAGATTAATGATTCGTGATGTTGTTCGTTATTTTTACAATCGTTTAGCTTTTTATCAAGAAGTTCAAGTTCACGCTAAAAGTAAGAATAACGACGATAGTCTGGTCATCATTTTCAAAAAATACTGTCTGAATGTAAAGTTTTCCGCTCTATCGATTGTTGGTATTAAAACTTGGAATTCTGATTAAAAAACCCAGTTAATCTTGAAGTGACCTTGAAGGTCCAATGGCCGTCGATTTGAAGGTCAAATTGAAGGTAGCTACCGGATTCTTCGTTAAAAACTACAAAAATAAAAACTTCACTGATCGAAAAATAATCCAAAGGTATCTCAATACCTTGTTGAGGGTGTATGACCTTGAAGTAACCCCTAAGGTAAAATTTTTTCTGCAACTTAAGCACATATCTGAACATAAATTTTCCCGCTCTATGGACTGTCAGTGTCAAAAATAGGGGTTCCCATTTGAAAAAATGAGGTTGACCTTGAAACAACCTTGAAATTAGGTGCAAATTCAATTCCAGGATCAGCATCGGATTCCTTATTCAAAATTATTAAAGGAATGACTTTAATAATTCCTTTTTTTCAGAAATGAAGAACTTTAGAAAATATTCAGCTCTCCCGGGACTTAACTGACACCCTATATATAAATACATACATATATACATATACTCACATATTAGTTATGTTTATAATTAAAATATATTTATGTGATATCAACGTAATATTTGAAAGATGTTTATGATATATATTAACTTCAGAGCATTATTTAAATACGATCCGAGCAAAGACGAAGATTTACCTAGTATAGCTTTATCATTTTGTTTCGGAGATATTTTATATGTAACCAATGCAAGTGACGAAGAATGGTGGGTTGCAATAAAATTAAATGTTGATGACGAAGTATCTGGCATTATTCCATCTCGTAGACGTTGGGAAAGGAAGCAACGAGCTCGGGATAGAACAGTGAAATTTGAAGGCGATCCATCAATTCTCACTAATAAAGTAAGTAATTTGATATAATGAGAAACAATAATACCTTATTGGATCAGTCAATTGTGAGATTTCACTCATAATGTTATAATGATGTATGCTTGAAATCTTCACATGGCTAATAATATAATGTTTTAGTCAAGATTCTTGTACAATTTATCATGTATCTTATATAACACAATTATTTATTTATATCATTATTTTATCACTTCTCTATCCAAATGGATAATATATGAAGAATTATACAATCAAATTAAATTGTTCTAAAACAGATCACGAAATGATATTTGAAATTTTGGTAAATTTTATATTATGTAATGTTTAAGGTATCTAATTACGTATATGATGTGAATGTAGTCTATATAATTTCACTAAATTTTATTTGAGGTTGTATAATTTGAGTCCGGGTCAAGGTTAGAATCGGTCGGAATGGAGCCGCGTGAAAGGGAGAATCGATCAAGTTTATTGAGAAAGCGGTGAGTGGACATCCTAAGAGAAAAGAATTTATTGGAGTAGATCATTGGTTTCTCTGAGCCATAATAATGACCCGAGGAGATAGAGCATGGGTGACGTTACTTTTATTCTTCTGATGCTCGAGATGATCCTTACTTTATATTGCCGTGTGGCGAAGTGCACCTCTTCTTCGATGTGGAATCGTGACCCATGTAAGTTTGGCTGGGTTTACAGCGTGTTTAAAGCCCTGGAGAAACGACCTCTTGTTTTTATTTCACGATGTCTCTTTACGATAAGGTTAATGCTTAGGCATGATAATGTTACCAGTTAGTCATTAAATTAATTATAGTCAAGCGTGCCAATATTAATCTAATGAGGTAAGGCTCACTTTATTTCTGAATGTAATAATCAATAAATGACTTGTAAATGAGGATAAAAATAAATGTAATAAATAATAGTTTTTACAATACCTTGGAAATCGTTGTTGAATACGTCTATAAACCACGTAAGGTGATGTTGGAATAAATAAGTCTCATTTTATAACCATTAAGTAATATTTATAGAAAAGTAATAAAAGGTTTGATAATGTTTACAGCAAAAGTTAACAAGATAACGAAAGTAATATATAAAAGCAATATATAAAACACCGAAACGTCGAACTGCTGAGTGCACAGAGCTCTAATTTTAAACTGCTTGCAACAGCGTAAGCTAGGTTTCTTTCATCACCTTTATTACATCAATCATCTTCAAAATTTAGAGTTAATATTACATTGAAGTAGCTATTGCTTGTTACATCACCATGTTATTCCGAAAAGCGTTTATTCGTGACATAGATTTTATGCAAGTCTAATGGTTTTTGCAAATGCTCGCATAATTTTCGTCTTTTTTAAGATCTTGATTTTCGCAATTGTATGTCCAATGTTTAAGATAAAAATTTAATATATAAATTTGAGATAAAAATTTTTCTGTCAAAAATACGTTGCAAGACATAACACCTCAGGGCCTAAGATATTGCGATTAATATGCATTAATCGCAATGCTAAAATTTCGTGAGAGAATGGAATTGATATTAACATATTTATGATATTCAAATTTTAAAGAATTTTTGATTCAGCAAAATTTGATTTTATTATACTTCTTGTTTTTTTGATTCTTTGGTTTTAGTTTTACTTTATGAACGTATTTTCGGTTTATAAAAAATCGGTTGGATCTTACATAGTTCTACTCTGTTGTTTACAAGAGTTCGTCTGTACAGTTTTTGAGATCCCCGGAAGCGTTATTCGATAGTTTTTATAAGTATTCCTTTGCTATTCTATTCCATATTAAGATTCCTATAATTTTTCCTATAATTATTAACAACTTTTTTTCTTATTATTTTAGTTTGAGGGTTGACAGCATTCCCGTGCCATGCCAAGAGGAATGGTCTTTCAATATCTGCTACACTTAAGCTGGGGACTAGAAAGTATCTCAAGATATGTGTAAGTACAAAATTTGAATATATTTACATTTGAATTTATTCTGTTTGTAACCTATTTTTTTTTCTTTGTTTCAAGGCCGCTATACGAACTCTGCTAAAGTACGATCGCTTGACTCGCAACTTGTACTATCTCGGGGAGTATAGTCTAGATAAAGATAATTAAGGGTTTTGTAGCTTATTCTTTTACGAATTGCGCGTATATTGTATTAGATCCCATAGGATGTTAGCGAGGTGTTTAGCGATTTTTATAATGTATTATAGTTTCGAGTTTCATTCTGTAACGGTCCAGCCTGATTTACTTTTTCCTTCAGCTTCCACTGCAAAATAGTAAGCCATCGTACGCAAGAAAACTGAAGAAAAGCGGTACTTGAGCGAAGGCGTTCTTCTCATATACGCGTAAATGTGTTAGGGCAATTCGTCACGAGCGTGGGAAAATTATTATTTACAATGCAAAATCGATAATTGCAAAGTCTTTTTTAACGAACAAAAGCATTTTTCAGTCAATTTTCATGTGCTGATCAAGTTATTATAGTCATTCAATATGTATTTGTTAGTTTAATTTAATTTACAAGTAAATATCGCTAGTAATTTTGCAACAAATACATATGATGCAAATTCGAATATACAATAACGATCTCAGCACCTTAAGAAAGAGAAGCAAGAATTTGACACTTTGATAACTGATTTTCGACTGAGTTATCAATAAATAAAAAATTTATAATTGCATTTTAAATACAATTACAATTATATACAATTAATTTATTTAAACAATTTAAATTGCGTTGCGAGATAGCGATTTGACTGTACATACCTATAAAATTAATGATAACGATTGTAACTCGTTTATTGATTTTATAATGGCTAAAAGAGGAATTTACGAATTCGTTATTTAATTATTATTTAAAAATTGATTGTTAAGTTAGTGGTTTTTATTTTAAATAATGTTCTACTTTTCGCAAGTGATTTTTTTATGTAAAAATTTTCCGTAAATTAATTCTAAATTCCGTGTTATTTAAATATCTAACTTATATCACTTTGTGACAGTAAACGTCAAATTAGCGCTAATAATATAACCTAATTGCTGCCTGCGGGGGCAGCACCTACCGGGAAGACGAAAAACGTAACGAAGGAATTCGGCGCGCGAGCAGACGGAACGCGCGCGATTGAAATTGAACTAGTGAAGCTCTAACCAACGCTTGCCCGCAAGTGACGCTCTAACCACCATCACGCTTGCCCGCATGTGAAGCACTGGCCATCGTTACGCTCACCCGCAACTACGACGCCGATTACTGATACGTGAGCTAGAGATCGAGTCATACAGTGAGGATATACAAACTAGAGTCGAACACCGGCAACCGCTACCACCGAGTGCTGACGTGAGCCTGCTGAACGCTCTCGTACCGGCGACATCGAACAGTGTGTGTGTGAGGTTTCGCCATCGAGGGCGAAACCACGTGCGCGTGAGTTCGCGATCCGCGACACGAACAAACTCGAATCCCTTTCTTGAGTGTGACTTGTTGGTGTCATCTTCGAGCGTCCGCCGAATAAAGGTAAGCTGGCCAGCTTAATCTCGCGATCGCGGTTGCACGTTTAACGATTAATTTCTCGTGTTCGAAGCGTGCATGCAGTAGCTCTGCTAACAAAGAGCAGCGAGCGTCCCGACACTGCAGGTTGTCGTTGAGTGAGCATCGATGTAAACAAACACACGGGCTGACCTTATGTAGCATTTGATAGATAATAAAAGATTCTATTCGTGACATTAACAAGTGCTTTCGACTCGCTCATTTCATATTGCTTCCACTCACTTTTTCGTGGATAAATAGATCCATTGGTTGACTGAAGCCTGTTTCCCCATGCTCTCCGGATTATGTATTGAGCATAGATGATTACATTCGCCTTTCAATAAAATTGCGCGAATAAAAGTAATTAAACGGTATCCACCCCGTTACAACTTATAATTTTAAAAGGCGATTTTTCCTTGAAAAACGATTTATATTAAAAAATTCGTTATCCTCTACTTGATTTTTTAAGTCACTAATTTTTAATTTTGATTGAGCCATTTTGCGACAAAACCTGTACAAAATTTATGCTAATATCAAAAATAACGTTGTAGGGGCTACCAAGCATAGAAATGAGCCGTTTTCGCAAGTATAAATTCGCTCGTCGCTGCGGCAAGAGGATTCATAATCCTACCATGCCTAGCAGCGCGAGTATTGAACAAAATAAAGACTCAGCTATTTCCTAAGACTGATTTCATTATTCAATGGTTAGCCTGTTATTCCTTTCCTCGACGATAATCTAAGTGCTCAACTCATAAGACTCTCTCTCTCTCTCTCTTATGAGAAAAAAGCAACCTTAGATTATCTCCTCACTAAAATCAATATTGCCTAGAAATTAAATTGAGTATTTATTGCGGCGTTGTCGGGCTTCCCCTCAATAGATGTAACAACACTCAATTATATTTCAAACGGTTTATCGAAGCGGCGAAAATTGTGTTCACTATTTGTTGATTGTAGAAATATCAAAACTAGAAGAACTTCACGTGTCAACTTCTTGCTTACTTTCGGAAACGCGATTATGAATTTATCTTAGAGTCCGAACTATTTACTTTGATAATGTACGATAACTTTCAAACGTTACAATTCACAGATATAATTGTAATTGTATTTAAAAGTAATGTATTTCAATAAATAATAATAATGTAAGTAATAATAATAAAATATGAGTAATAGTAATGAATATATTTTTTGTGTCCTATCGTATCTTAATTATAATCTTACTATGTATAACATCTTTGGATGTAATTCCTTGCGGCCTAATCTATAGCCCTACTAGAAAATGACGATATTATAAAAATTATTTCAGATTAAGTAAATTTGTCGATTCCTACGAAACTGTCAAAGCTGGTCGTTTGTTCGGTAAGAGCGGTGGATTTTTTGAGGTGTTTTGGTAATATCTTTATTTCGTTAAGTTCAGTTTCTTTGTATTTGTTTTATGTTTCTTTGTTTTTGTTATGTGTTTGCTTCTTTTGAGTTTCTTCTGATGTGTCCTTGATCGTCGTTAAAAAGTATGTAATTGAATT